CTCATCTCCTTTGAAAAGAATGTCAGAAGGGGAAACAAATAAAAACATCTTTTAAATCTAAGAAAGTTGTTTCCACTTCTAGACCCTTAGAACTGTTACATATGGATATGTTTGGTCCTACCAAAACTTCAATTTTGGGTGGTAAGAAGTATGGATTTGTCATTGTAAATGACTATTCTAGATATATATGGGTTTACTTCCTAGCCAATATATATGAGTCTTTCAAAGTATTTGAAATATTTTTTAAACATGTTCAAAATGAAAATGGTTTTTGCATCTCCATTATCAAAAGTAATCACAAAACTAAATTTGAAATTTCTAATTTTAAAACCTTTGTGTGAAAAGAATGATGTCTTTCACAACTTCTCTTCACCGCGAACACCTCAACAAAATGGGATAGTTGAAAGAAAGAACTAAACCTTGCAAGAAATATCCAAAACTTAACTTTGTGAAAACTATTTGACAAAACACTTATGAGTTAATTGGCCATTTGGAGTGTCTTGGAAGTGTCTTTTGTACACAACCATCTCTCTATAGAACCTTAGTTGCGTTAGACTTGGTGAAAGTGGTCCTTGAGGGTCTTTGGTACCTATCAAGCTTTCACCTTAGGAATCTGTTTACTTAGCTTTTAAATTCTGCCATTTACTTTGTCCTTAATTACTTGTTCATCTAGATAAATCACTACACCAAAACAAGCAGATTTTTCCGTCGGAAAATTTGACAGCAATTTTCGACGGATTTTTCCGTCGGAAATTTTCGATGGAATTTTTCGACAGAATTTTCTGTCGGAAAATTCTGTCGGAAAAATTATTTCCGACGGATTTTTTTTCCGACGCCACTTTTTCCGACGGATTGAAATCCGTCAGAAATCCATCGAAAAAAGCAAAATCCGTCGGAAATTTACCTATTTCCGTCGGAAATCAGCATTTTTCTTGTAGTGCTGTTAATAGACTCACCAAAGACAACAAATTTATCAAAACAATTTAACAAGACATGATTGAAAGATAACTAGTCCATACCCAAAATTACATCTAGTTGACTAAGATGCAAGCAAATTAAGTCGTCAACCACAAATTATTCATTAGATATAGACAAAGGATAACCCAAATAAACACCATATGCACAAACATAACCACTAGGTGGAGTTTCAACAATTAAATCAAAATTTGGGAAGACTGTCAAATTTTATCCAATAACACAAACATATGATATAAAAAAAAATGAGTTGCACTAGAATTATAAAGTACAACTAAAAGAGACTTACTTATGAGTCATGTACCTTGGATCATGTCATTAGACTCCGAGGCTTAAGCACCAGTCATGTGAGAAAATAACAAATGTACAATTTTTGTCAAATAATAAAATATTGAGTCCACATGGACCACATGTTTGACCTTTAAATAATCTCTATTTGAATAAATTAGGCAAACAAAGATTTAAGTTGTTTAAGTTTGATTAATAATAATCTAATAATTAATTATAATGAGAATTAATTATGAAAATTAAAGGTAACATGAATTGGGATATTTAACAATAAAATGAATTTTTAGGATTAGGGTTCCCACAACGAGTTCCTATATATTTAAATGTCTTCCTCAATATTTGCCAGGTTCTCTTTGAAGGTGGATTAACCTAAGGTACCCTTCATTCCTTTTAAAGATACTTATGATTGCCTACTTGAATTGACTCCTACTTTCCTGGGTAACTATATTCAATTAAACATATTTCATTTTTTGTTAATTCATTTGATCCTTTAAGGATTAAACCCTCTTTCATGATTTAAAACCTAAGTCCAATTTTTAGGGTTTCAAAATTTAGGTTCACCTTACAAATTCTTTTCTAAACTATCTAAGGTTATAAAAAAGGTGATTAAATACTTCATATAAATAAAATGCTAAGAATTGAGATTAAGAGGAGAACACACACAAATTACTAAATAATTTAATTAAACTTAATGTCCTCAAGGGCTAAGCCCTAATTCTAAAAAAAGAGAGTCTACTCACATATAGTCATGCTAGATAAATAAAAAGAATATAATAAAAATAAAAGTAAGACAAGCCGAGGAATCAACATAACAAGAGAACAAGTCCTCAATCTTTTATCATGTCTTGATAAGTGTATACGTTATTTACAATGAAAAACTAAAGCTATTTATATTAAAAATGCTCAGACAATTGGCCCAAAATTAATTGCAACTAACAGTGAATTAAAAAATTGAATTTGGAGTAACAAAATCACCGAGTAAGGTTAAAATGGATTGGATTGAATTTGAAACATATTTTGATCCAATTCAATCAACTTTAATTAGATTGGATTGGTTTGTTTAGATTAAATCAGTTCATTAGATTTATCCATAAATTAAAAAATAAATAAAAAATAAAATCACATTAGACGACTTGTAAAATATATATTTCCATGTCATCAACTAATAAAACATTCAATATTATAAACATGTTTATCAACATTATATAGTATTGCTTAAAACATTAAAAATTACAAACTTAAAAAGCAACAAACATCTTTAAATTAAAACTTAACTTTACCTAATGCCACAATCAACAAATTTATAATAATATGTCATCTTCAACATTATAAACTCAACAAAATATTTCAAGTGTTACAACCAACACCACAAAGCCTTAATATCTAATCGGTATCAACTTTCACGAATGAGAGGACATGCACAATAAGACAAACAAAGACTTGAGTTTCATTTTTGTCCTTGATACTAATTGAATAAGCCAATTTCAAACAAAGTAAATAGGCTTAGAGATTGCCTCATTACCTACAATCTTTATACTTATCATATATGCATACTTAGTCTCCTAGTTCAAATGACGATTTCTGATGTAAACATTATGGTCTCACACCTTTAAATGTCATTTCTCAAGGTTCTCTCAAAGGTTTCCTCTAGAAGAGTCTCTTTTAAGTGCTTGAGCCAAAAACAGGGTAATGATGCTCTCCCTCTAAACCCCTTACTTATTTTGACTTGGTTTAGGTTAATTGGGTAGGTAAAAAGTAAAGGTAGAGTTTTCAATTCAAACAACTTTTTTCCCTGCTCAACCAAATGAATAGTATTATAAAATGATTTTCATAGTAGACTTACAATATATTTTTATAGTCCATTTGGTTCAAAGGAAAGGAGGGGAGGGGAGAGAATGAGGGAAAAAGAGTTAAAGATTTGTTTGGTTAAGAGGATGATCAGGAAAGGGGGAGGAGATAAGTCTTTTCTTATTTAGTTCATAAGGAGAGAAGAGAGATTTTAAAAATCAATTTACTTTTATATTCTTATAATTTTAAATTTAATAATATAAATGAAGATATTTTAAATATTATATTAAAAATATTTTAAAATTTCTTCCTTTCCATGTAAATCTCCCAAATATTGGAGGAAAGTTATAATTGAATTAGGAAGGATTTTGCTCCCATCTCCTCTTAAAAATTAAATCAAACAATTATTTTAAAAAAATCCTTCTCCTCTTTTTTTCTCTATTTTTCTCCGATCAAACACTATAAAAAATGATCATAATATATTAAAATTTGATGAAAATTGATTTCTTTAAGAGGAAAAAAAAAGACTTGTAATTTAGTATGACGATTACACGTACTTGTCTCGTTAAAAAAATTGAATTAACTAAATAAGGTTCAATAAAATCCACATACTACAATGCATGGATTTTGTTGAAAATATTATTTATGCAAATAATTTAATTTGAAAATCATATCTATTTTGAGAGAGAAAAAAGAAGAAACTTGAACAGAAAAAGTTACTAAAAATTAAGGTTATATAATTTTTTTTGGTAATGTTAATAAGGTTATATTATATATTATATAAGAGTTTTTTACTCAGACTTTTTTACTTTTATTAATGTAAAGATACACTACAATATATATAAAAATTAAAGTAACAAATATTTATAATTTAAAAATTAAAAAAATATAGTACAAATAAGTGACAATAAATGTTATCTCAAATTAACGTTGCTAATAATGATGAAAAATTTTAAAAAACTATGAGATAAATTAAAATATATAATTTTGTAAAATAATAATTAAAACGAGAACAATAACCATATTTCGTAAGTCAAAATAAATATTAAAATTAAATTTCAAATAAAAAATGAAAAAATGAACTGAAAATATTACAAACCCTGTCACAAATTATAACAATATCTCAATATTTGATTCTAAGAGAAAATGAATTATTAGTTCCAAATTTACTACAATTAGGCTAGTATTACAAATACCCTTAAATAATTAAATAATTTATTTATCAAATTATTTTTATCTAGTAAGGAAACAAAATAAAGTTAACATAAGAAAATCAATTATAAAAAAACTTCCCTTCAAGACTCTTAGAGTGTGTTTGGATGGAGAATTTAAATGGAGTAATTCATTTATTTGAAGAATTTCAAATCCTTTGAGATGAAATACTTTGTTTGGATAGAGAATTTACAAGGAATTTGAAATTCAATCATTTGTAAAATTCCTTGAAATAGTAGAATTTCAAATTTTTCCAAAAAAGTAAGAATTTGAAATTCTTCATATTTTTTTTCTTCTTATTTTACTTATATATTTAATCTTATTTCTTATCTCTTCATGTTTTTAGTTATTGTATATTCAAAAATATTTTTAAAATTATTAAATATTATCTAATATTAATTTTTAAAATTATTAAATATTTAAAAATTGGCTAATATTTATTTTTATAAAATTTTATTTAAGAATCTCAATATACAAATAAATTTTTAAAATTAATTTTATTATGGTAGAATCAAATTATCATATTCAAATTAATAATTTAAAATTTAAAAAAATTGAATTGACTTACCTAAACAAAATATTTTAAGAATGAAAGAAATTGAAATCAAAGTAATTCAAATACAAAATGTGCCCCAAGAGAGAGAGATTGAGTGGAAGAGTCAGGGGGCATTTGCGTAATTTGAAGGATCCCCTGGCTCCCCTTAACCGTCTCAGTTGATATATATAGACGCCTACATATATACGATTTCACCATTCACCATTTTCCTCTTCTCATTAACACACACAACACACCCAAACTAGCAACGAATCTTCCACCTTTTCCTTATTCCATTGTTGTCTCAAAACTATATTTTCTTCTTCTTCTTCTTCTTCTTCTTCTTCTTTGTTCTGGATTCGCTTCCATTTTGTAAGTTTTACTCTTTCGCCCCTTGGGTGTTTTTGCATCCTGGCCATGCCCATTTCATGTTTTTGTGATTTTTTCGTGAAAATAATCGAGCTTTGGGAAAATGAGTGTTTTTTATGATCTGGGTATTGCTCCTTTTTTGTGGATCTCTGGTGATTGTGAAGATGGCGTTTCTCTCTGTTCCCAATTGTGGTGCTTGATTTCCACGTGAGCATTTCATGTGCTGGCAGGGTGAAAAATAGATCTGTGTCGGGTTATCAATTCCGGGTTCCTAAGTATGCTAGGATGTGTTCAATGTGTTTGGTTATGTTGGAGAAAAAAGAATCGCTGCATGTTTTAGTGTTTTTGTGAGGAAGTTTAGTTTTTCTTTGGGGGTTGAATTTTGTGCATTTCGTGTTCTGTTGTGTTTTGTGTTCTCCGTAGATGTTGAAGATCGGAACTTCTGTCTAGTAATTCATTGATGAAGAATATAAAATATAACCTTTTGTTTGTATGTTTGTATGTATGTATGTATGTTCGTTCGTTTGTTTTTGTTTTGACATCTTGACTAACAAAAATCAATACAATATTTTCTTTTGCTTTACTCTTTTCTTTCTCTTGGACTCATAACGAGCTTTTGGAGCTATAAGCCTATAAGTTCCTTATGGTTATTTTCTCTTGTGAACTTGTAGCGTGAAGGTTGAAAGTTTAAACTACAATATCCATCTAACACCCTTATTGCTTTAATCTCCTCGAAGTTCTTTTCAAATTCTGTTATGGCTTATATTGTATGCTTTTATTTTACTTTGAGCTTTTGTAAAATGATAGATTGATTATTTTCTGTTTGTAGTTGTAATTGATATTTCTTATTTGTCTTGATTTTATTGTAGAAGTTGCCTAACATGGCTTCATATAAACCAAAGAATATCCTCATTACTGGGGCAGCCGGATTTATTGCGTCTCATGTTGCCAATCGGCTTGTCCGGAGTTACCCTGATTACAAAATTGTTGTGCTTGACAAACTTGATTATTGTTCAAATCTGAAGAACCTCCTTCCTTCTAATTCATCCCCCAACTTCAAGTTTGTGAAGGGGGATATTGGTAGTGCTGATCTTGTTAACTACCTTCTCATCACTGAGTCCATTGACACTATAATGCACTTTGCTGCTCAAACCCATGTTGACAACTCCTTTGGTAATAGTTTTGAGTTCACCAAGAACAACATATATGGTACTCATGTTCTATTAGAAGCCTGCAAGGTAACTGGCCAGATCAGAAGGTTCATTCATGTGAGTACTGATGAGGTCTATGGAGAGACCGAGGAGGATGCTCTTGTAGGAAACCATGAGGCTTCTCAACTTCTTCCCACAAACCCATACTCTGCAACAAAAGCTGGGGCAGAAATGCTTGTCATGGCATATGGTAGGTCTTATGGGTTACCAGTTATCACAACTCGTGGAAACAATGTTTATGGGCCGAATCAGTTTCCCGAGAAGTTAATCCCGAAGTTCATCCTCCTGGCTATGCAGGGAAAGAATCTTCCAATTCATGGGGATGGTTCTAATGTGAGGAGTTATTTATATTGTGAAGATGTTGCAGAGGCTTTTGAAGTTGTCCTTCACAAGGGAGAGGTTGGCCATATTTACAATATTGGGACAAAGAAGGAAAGGAGGGTTATTGATGTAGCCAAAGATATATGCAGACTTTTCAAAATGGACTCAGAAACTAGCATAAAATTTGTAGAGAACAGACCATTTAATGATCAGAGATACTTTCTTGATGATCAAAAGCTGAAGGACTTGGGTTGGTCTGAGAGGACCACTTGGGAAGAAGGCTTGAAGAAAACCATGGATTGGTACATCAATAACCCTGATTGGTGGGGCGATGTCACCGGAGCGCTGCTTCCTCATCCAAGGATGCTGATGATGCCTGGTGGCATGGAGAGGCATGCCGACGGATCTGGAGAGGGAAAGGCTGCACCTGTTGGCTCATCTAACACCAAGATGGTTGTTCCATCGTCCAAGAGCACCAGCTCTCAGCAGAAGCCTCCTTTTAAGTTCTTGATCTATGGTAGAACAGGGTGGATTGGGGGTTTGCTGGGGAAATTGTGCGACAAGCAAGGAATTCCATATGAATATGGAAAGGGTCGCCTAGAGGATCGTGCTTCACTCTTGGCTGATATTCACAATGTGAAGCCAACACATGTTTTTAACGCTGCAGGAGTGACTGGCAGACCCAATGTTGATTGGTGTGAATCCCACAAAACCGAAACCATCCGGGCCAACGTTGCTGGTACCTTGACATTGGCTGATGTCTGCAGAGAAAATGGGATTTTGATGATAAATTATGCTACCGGCTGCATATTCGAGTACAATGCAACACACCCTGAAGGCTCTGGCATTGGTTTCAAGGAGGAAGACAAGCCCAATTTCATTGGCTCTTTCTATTCCAAAACTAAAGCTATGGTGAGTTTCCAACATTGCATGGCTTTATAATCTTTGCATCATGAATTTTCATCAATAATAACTTACTTGTATTTGAACATTGATCAGGTCGAGGAGCTCTTGAAAGAATATGACAATGTATGCACCCTCAGGGTTCGCATGCCAATTTCGTCTGATCTGAGCAACCCACGCAACTTCATCACCAAGATTTCTCGTTACAACAAGGTAGTTAACATTCCCAACAGTATGACTATTTTGGATGAACTGCTTCCTATTTCAATTGAGATGGCAAAGAGAAACTTGAAGGGAATCTGGAACTTCACAAATCCTGGGGTTGTGAGCCACAATGAGATCCTTGAGATGTACAGGGATTACATTGACCCCAAATTCAAGTGGGCTAACTTCACCCTCGAGGAGCAAGCGAAGGTGATCGTGGCTCCTCGAAGCAACAATGAGATGGATGCATCCAAGTTGAAGAAGGAATTCCCAGAATTGCTTTCCATCAAGGAATCACTCATCAAATATGTTTTTGAGCCAAACAAGAAATAAGCAGCTTTATGTTAACTAGGCAAGGAAGTCGTGCCTTGAGGCTATATAGATCACATATTATTCCACATTTAGCTCCATTCAGTTACTGTGTGTAGAGTGTGGCTAGTATTACAATTGGTTTAGGTTTGTTTTCCAGGTCTTCATTTCTTCATATATATTCAAGTGTCCTTTGGTAATAGCAGCAGCTTTAGTTACATGTTTTGTCATCTACAAGCCTGTGATGGGCAACTTTTGCACCCTGCAAGGGCTGTATTCTTTTATTGCTCATCTAGAATGAAAATTTTAAATAATTGGTTACATTATTGAGATGTACTTGAATAATTATCTGTAATATAGAATGAAAATCTTTGAATAAGAGAAATTATTTGTTATTTTTGGAGTAAAAGAAATGGTGTTCACTTCACTGATCTTGTTTAAGGTTTGCTTCAGATATTCAGTGATTATGTGATGTTATGTTACACTAACCCTTTTGATGTAGTCACATATATCCTAACATTTCTCAAGCATTTTGTCGTCAATTTTCAAAGAGTTAATTGTTATTTTAAGATAAATATGATATATTTTTTCATGTTAGATTATGACATGAGTAGTACACCATACAAGGAAGACAGTTTTTTTGTAAAGGATAATTTTGTAAAAATATTTATATAACCTGAAAAATAATATTGTAACCCAATGCGTGAATTCTTATTTCTCAAGAAATCCATATTAATAGTCTTATATATTAATAGCTTAGACTCTTAGGATCTTTATGAGTAACTAAATGAATTTTAGTTATTTTTAGAATATTTTCAAAATTTGTAATTTGTGAAATCATAATTTTTAAGTATAAAAGGAACTCTTCTTCTATCAAACGCTCCCTAAATGAATGGTTATAAAACAATTATATTTGTATTCGAAAAGTTATTTTTGAAGAGAAATCACATACCAAAAAAGAAAAACTAGTGGATCAACTAGTACGAGTAGCCCCTGAAATAAGGTTTTCACGTGGTATATAAAAAGGGAAAAATAAATTAATCAAATTTTTGTTATTATAATTCAGACAGCAAGTCAACAACTTTCTTTCTTTTGAGGACACAACAAATCTTCTAGGAATCGACAAAACATAATACAGTTCTTGATGGTGATGTTTTCAATTTTATTATCATTTAAAAATTGTCTATCTCTCTCTTAATAGATCTCCCTCTCATGCAGAATATATACACACCGGTTCATTTTAAGTTTTTTTATTTATTTATTTTTTATTTTGGTGGTGTTACTCTGCAAATTTTTATTAGAGTTTCACTTTGCTAATTTATTTATATTAATTTTAATATAAATTTCTATTATACAAATTATTAAAGTAAAACTTAATTTTAATGGAAAAATAATGCCAAAAGTACTTGTATCTAATTTTTTTCTTCAGTGGAAATAAGAAAGAGGAGAGCTCAACACAACTAAATATAAAGAAAAAAAAATACTAAACTTAAATATAATTTCTTATACGTTAATTAAAAATTGAGTTTCAATCCAATAACTCATAAGAATATTTAATATAAATTTTTATTACGCATTTTAGCAATAAAAAAGGTACTCTATTAAAAAAATATAAAACAAAATAATTGGATAGTTAATATTGGATTGAACAATTAACGAGGATTATAATACTTTTTTTAGTTAATATAATTTTACTTGTTTTATTTTTAATCTCTATAATTTAAAATACATTTTTAAATTCATATATTTATTTTTAATTATTTTTAAAATTTTTATAGTTTAAAATATATCTTTTTAATCTTTAACAATAGAGATTAAAAGATTGCAATTCAAATAATTTTCTTAAAGTAATTTTATATTTTAAAATTTTTTCTAATACGGTGTGGATAAAATAATATTTTTAGAAGAATCAAATTAACATGATGTTCTTACTTAGAATCTTATCACTATCATTCTGATTAATTATATATATATATATAAATCATATTATTTTTATAGAATTAATCTCTACATTCATTTCAATACTATTTTTTTTATTGAAATTCAAAAAAAAATGTAAAATAACCTTTAAATTATAATATATTTTTCAAATCAATAATTCTATAATAATATTATGTGTGAGTATATATAAATTTTAAATAATTATATAATCATATGCATTGATAAATTAATTATAATAATATAATAAAATATATTAATTAATTATTTAAATTAAAAATAGTAATTTTAAATATATATATATATTGTGAATC